ATTTTAAAGTTAAAGTAAATGTTTGCCAAAATACTACTGACTATAATGAGTTGAAGTAAAATATAAATATAGAGCTTGCTTTTGACATAAACTTTTTTATGTAAAGATTTATTTCTTTAGACTAAACACAAAAAATCAAAACAAATAAAACAAGACTTTATAAAAAAAACTATAATTTGTAAAAAAAGTCTGTCGATTTGTATAATATTTTTATCACTCGACGCTATAAAACACTATAAGTTTTATAATAAAAATAAAAAATAATTTATAAGTTTCGTGAAGTGCACGCATTAACGTATTGAATGATTATTTTAATCACTAGCTTATAAATAACATAAACATTCATTACTAAATTAAATATGTAATTAATAAAAACTGTTCAAGCTTTCAATGAAACATGCAAATAAAATGTTAATAATTTCACATTAAAATCTAAATAAACGCTAAATCAATAGTAATCTGAATATATCTCACCTGAGAGTACCATTGGAAGCGTCGGTATGTATTGAACTGTAATGAGTTCATTGCAATTCAGTCGACTATAATTGATGGCAAACTCATAAGACATTTGATATGACTTTTAATTGAGATTTGATTTGTATTAGTATTGTGTTTAGAAATTAGTGAACAAATCCGTACAATTTATTTATTAGTCTCGACAACAAAAATAATAATTTGTTTTCAATTTAGTAGAATAGGATTGTTATATAACTTTCTTAAATGCATTAATTAGTACTAATAATCCGATTCTCAATATAAATATATGAGTATTTTGTTGAGCATTAAGTGATTATTATTATTATTATTATTATTATTATTATTATCATAAATATTATTCTGTTCCCAAAATATTTTGAGCACTAATTCACTGATAGCTTAAGTTATAGGTTTCCGTACTGGTGATTTGCTTTCATATATTTATATATAATATATATTTATTTTCAAACATTAATTTCGACGTCAAATGGAGAGACTGAATGGAAACACAGAATAATATTAATTAATATCAGAAGTAAGTAACAGAAAGTACAGGAAAATAGTTGACAAACACATGATGTTTATAATGGATATTGAATTTATTGTGCGAAACGTTCATTATTTCAATCATTTATACATTACAACAAAACAAGAATATTCTGTGTATTCACACAATATATACATTGAGTTGACGACAAAGAATATTCAATAGAATCGATATTAAAACATATATAAAAGTGTATGCAATTTATGTATATTTGCATTGTATATACAGATTGAAAGAATATTGTAAGCAATTTGTTATTCAAAATAAACACAAACTTAAGTAAAATACATTTATTCTGAGAATTATATCAACATATAATTCGCAATCAAGTAACAAAAGTTTGAGAGAATATTCTGTATTATTATGATTGTTATTGCTGAATATAACAATATACATTTATTTCACTAAATATTTAACACACGTTTCACAACACATTCAAACATTGAGAATAAGATACACAAAAAGGTAAACGTAAAGTAATGAACAAAAAATAAGTTATACTTTATATTAGAATAAAAGGAATTACAACAGAAATGTAAAGCAAAAGCATTTCTCATATATTTATGTATAAATAATAAAAAACAAATGAAAATCAATATTTTTTTGTATTGAATTGTGTGTCAAACCCGAGTGATCTATCTATGGTGTGGTCCACACAATAACACAGGAATAACATAAATAATTGCAAACAAATATTACACTTAAATGTAATAAACTCTTAAATGCATTATACAAATAAATAAAGATTGAGAGCTTTTCGACTAAATGCCTGTATTTGTTGTAATGAAAGCAAAACGAAAAATAATTTATAAATCACTTACTATTGACTAATCCATTGATGTATACATATAATGAGATCGAAAAACATATACACAGAAAACACACGACTCGTATACTTCTCGCACAATTTGTGTGACTCAATACACCCGACTATTGGATATATATGGGTGAGAATATTCTGTGATTTTGCTCTGTCTGCACCGTCAGCCACCAAAAACCCGTACCACCCGTACCGCCAGTGTAAGTGTCTGTGCCATTGGCAACATATGTCTCCTCAATGATGTAAAAATCGATTTCCAACACAAAAATCAATTCTTTCGCTGCCCTTCAGTACCACCGCTATTGCCATACATACGACATATCCTATGACTGGCGCTATTTGTGAGCAGAATATTCTGCACATGTATTCTGGAGCGCCGGCATCAAAGTTGGCTTATATTCTATGTGCGCCCTCACTCTTATCGCACACTTTGATCTCACAATTTTTATGTCAATATTTTACTTTTTCTTTTATTATTGGATTTTTGTTTTACAGAAAAATTGTTCAATCGTTTTGGCTCTCAATTTGCTTTAAGAATATATATAAACTTCATTCACATTTAAACAAGACTTTCGCTAAAATATGTACAATATTTGTATTAAACATTTTTTGATCAAATAGAAAAATATTAAAAATTGAATTTTGTTTTATCTAAAGAATATTTCTAGTATTTGTTTGCATTGATTGCTAGAAAACACAAACTCAAACATAAAGAATATTCTCATATTTAAAATCTATTAAATAAGAAATTTATTTTAATTATTAATAAATTTAAATTAAAGTAAAATCACGACTCAAGTGTTGCTCAAAATGCTATGAATAATACAATTGATTAAATTAATAAAAGTACGCCAGCTCAAGTGTACAATTATAGTATACATATTAGTCTATTAAATAACATAAATCTCAACACAAGATCCCTGTATTTGGCATTAATTGCGAAAATGTTTTTGTGATCACTAAATGATTTGCACAATAGGTTTAAATAAATTTTTATTGCGCCATAAGTGTCGCATAAATTAATTAACTACTTAATGAACTGGGTCCTGGACTTTATATTACTTTATATTATAGTTTATTTTATACTTAACTCGAGTGCCTTTCAATTGATTTCACAAGTTTTACACAAATATTAATCAAAACACACGTTTAGTTGTAATAAAAATTTCGACATTAAATCAATACCAATAGACAATTAAATAATACATCAGAAAAATTATTTTTATTAAAATGAAATAAAACTTTAATACATAAAGTAAGTGAGCAAATAAAAATTGATCATTATAAATTTATTTATCATTAATTTGTAATATCGTATTAATTAATCACTATATCTAGGCTCAATAATTTCTATGTGATTAAATGTATTAATATAAAAAGCACAACATTATTAACACACAAAAACACTAGTAATTCATTACAAACTCTTGGAAATTCAAACATAAAATTAATTAAATAACAAATAAAACATTGGAAATAAGATTATATTACAGAATAATTGGGAAAACAATGATCGTATGATTTTCTATATATTACAAAATGTTAAGTAATAGCTAATGTATCAAAGACCTGGGGGTTAGTTAATAATATATACTTTTAAATAAATCAATACATATCAAATCTGGACCGACAAATTCAATGATTAATTTGCTATAAACCCGTTCGTGTGGCCGCATATAATCAATAAAATTAATATAAATCTATATATAATCTGAATCTATGTAAACAGTTTACAGCAATAATCAGTCATTCGTCAGAATAATCATAATTCATAATAAATTGCATTTTTATGACTAATTTATAGGCTTTATATCATTAGCGCTGCTATAAGTGAGCAAATAAAAATTGATCATTATAAATTTATTTATCATTAATTTGTAATATCGTATTAATTAATCACTATATCTAGGCTCAATAATTTCTATGTGATTAAATGTATTAATATAAAAAGCACATTATTAACACACAAAAACACTAGTAATTCATTACAAACTCTTGGAAATTCAAACATAAAATTAATTAAATAACAAATAAAACATTGGAAATAAGATTATATTACAGAATAATTGGGAAACAATGATAGTATGAATTTCTATATATTACAATATGTTAAGTAATAGCTAATGTATCAAAGACCTGGGGGTTAGTTAATAATATATACTTTTAAATAAATCAATACATATGAAATCTGGACCGACAAATTGAATGATTAATTTGCTATAAACCCGTTCGTGTGGCCGCATATAATCAATAAAATTCATATAAAACTATATATAATCTGAATCTATGTAAACAGTTTACAGCAATAATCAGTCATTCGTCAGAATAATCATAATTCATAATAAATTGCATTTTTATGACTAATTTATAGGCTTTATATCATTAGCGCTGCTATTAATGAAGGCAATGGAGTTACGGATCAAATCAATGCTGGATTCGCACAAGAATTTCAGATAAATATAATCCAATTGTGTTAATAGTTTGCAGTCATTGAGGCAACAGAATTGGTTAATAAATTTTGAGCGATTTATGTCAAACCAGTAGTTGATTTGTAGGTCAGTGTCATAATCGCTGGTAGTGTTGGCGCTGATCTCGTGCACCGGTATATGAAAGGCGATTAACTGGACAATGGTTTTCGAGTAACGTATTCGTACGGACGGCTGACTCAGGACATGACCTACCGATGCGAACAACGAGTTCGGCAATAGTTTCGCCAATAATTGCCATAAAAACTGGTGAAGTGTTATGTGAGTGTCGGAGGTGTCGGCGCTCTCATTACTATTAGCTAATGGAGTGGATGTACTCGTATTCATGGGTACTATTAGGAGGATGTCCTCCTCTGAAGCGGAGATAATAATTGTGTTAATGATATCTGCGGGCAATTGATTGGAGCCATTGTTCTCCATGTACTCCAGAATTGAATACAATTGAAGTATCAATGAATTGGTTTGCTTTTCATCGAAAGTCGTTTCAGTCAACTCCGACAGTAAGTAGTATTGCGTCCACTCCTCGTCCAATACGAGCACCAGTTCCTCGTGATGTCTGAACTGATTGACTATCGGCGCTGAATAGCAGTCACACAATACCTAATGGATTACACAAACAGATAATGGATTATAGGCTACGATAACAAAGTGATATAATAATAGCAATAATAGACTAAAATATACTATAATAGTAACAATAATAGTAACAAAACTTCTCAAAAAAGTCTTTTATATGAAAGGGTATTGAAATCAAAGTTCAATACCGAGTGCTATTTATTCCGTAATTGAAATGTAATTATTTTAATGACTTTATAATTGATTGATTGACAAAAAATGAACTATAATTTATTTAAATGAAAAACAATTATAAAGGTTAACAACACGATAGAAATGAATACAATATGAAAATATTTATGCCATAATGTACTCAGAATATGATTATACTGTAGTACAATATTAAATATTATATATAACTTAGTATACAGAAACAATTTTAAAATTGTCATTCAATTGATTTGTTTCTATAAATAATGGAAAAATCTATTATTTTTCAAAAATAAGTAAAGCAATTATCAAACTATTAAATGATTTAACAACACATAAAATATTGCATTGTTTTTTATATTTTCAATGTAATAATCTCATAAATAAATAAATAGTNCTCATAAATAATACTTATGTAACAATTGCCTGTTATAAATAGCGTTGAAAAGCATTTTTTGCTAAAAACAAAAGTTTTTTATGGCTTTAAATCACATAAAAACTATTTGTTTTGCAAACTATATTTTATTTGCGAATTCATTGAATCGGTTCAAAACACTATTAATTTTCTGGTTTTAGTCTATAAGTAATGAAACAAAAATGATAATTTTTTCAAACAATTTTTCATTGCTTTGAGAAAAACATTATAAATAACTTATTTAAGACTATTTAGTGAGAAACCTATTCAAGCAATCAAATCATTATATCGTAAATATAAATGACTCGAAAATTACAAATAATAACAAAAACTAATTACGAGTAAATGATTGAACAGACAAAAACTTGTAGTTTTGACATATTTTTTATTTATCTAATCTCACGAAAACATTAGTTTATGGTAAACAAACAACAAATTTAATTTTAATGTAATTTAAAACCTTTATCATAATTAGAGGATTAACTTTTAAAAACTACAAATACTTTATACAGTATTTCATAATTTATATACTTTACAAAGGCTTAAAGTATACATAATTAACTTATACAAAAAATTAACCCAATACTACTGGAAAGTTATGAATAAATTACTGTATTATTCAAATTCATTGCCAATCAAATAAAAGGAAAAATACTTTAAAATTACTGTTTAAATGATTTGATAAAAACGACTAACCATTAGATTGACTGACTTTCTAGTGTTGGACACAATGGAGTCCTTATAGACCAGTACTGAACCCATTCTCTCGGCGTTTGTCACTTCAAAATCAGTCCATTTGTAGGTCTCGTCCGTACA